GTATGGTTTTACAGGTCATAAGAAAACATGCAAGCCAATTAGTTGCCTCCAACTTATAGTCTTCCTAAACTATGTTTAAGGATCAAAATTTTATCAAAAATTTTCAAGAGTGTGACTGATACATGAGTTCTCGTTTAGATTTAGACTTCGTTTGGGACAACTTTCTAGCTGTTTTATGAAGCAGCTTTTTATCACAAATATTTTTAATTAAAAAAAATTGTACTGAGAAACTGCTTCATAAGAAATTAAGAAAGTTCTCTCAAAAGAAGCCTTATTAGGGTTAATTTTATTAAGCAATTTGGAAAAATAATTTGCGTTTATTTTTTTTTTAAGTATAATGGAGACCTTTTAAAAGTAAAGTAGTACAAAAAAACACTTGTTTGCATAACATTTTCTTGCATAGTAATCATGCCTCTCCAAGGAAACTTCATCAAGGTCTTTGTTAAATTACATTTAAAGTTCTAAAAGATAATGTTGCTAGGTCCAACAAATTGAAAAATGATATTAGGCCTCTTAAAAATTCTATGGACAATTTAAAATTCCAAATCACTTAATGAAGAGCAACATTTGATCATCTTATTAACTTCTAAGCAATTGCACACATTAAGTATGTATATGATGCCATAACAAAGATTGGTAACTAACCAATAAATTTATTCTTAATCTTAGACAAGATATAAAAAATGAGGTAGTAATTATGAATCCTCAATTTCTTTGAGTCTTTTCATTTGGCTTTGTTCATTATAAAGAAAAACACTAAGAATTCTAATCCTAGGCACAGAGATTATTCTAATCCTCAAAAGTTTGTTTATGGACCTTTCACACCAACTTATTCATTCCCAAGGTTTTCCATACCCTTCAAATCCTTCTAAATCATTCATTGTTGGCCATTTATCATCCCTTATGATTGTCTTTTCATATCTACAGACATCTTTTATTTCAAATGTCCAATATGCAAGATAAAATTGTAAAACAAAGACAAAAATATAGCTTTACGTGTTCTTTTAGACAATAGGTGTATACTCATACATGCATATAAATGTAATTAATAGATACTTGATTTGTTTCCATCAAAAGATTCAACCAAGATTACCACATTTCTCAAAAGCGGAACTCCCCTAAGAGAGACATGACCTCATAGAAGATTGGTTGAAACTAGATTCAGATTTATAATCACTCTCCCTTGAAGGATCACAACATGAAGACTCATCTTGGCAACCAAACTAAGACAACATCATCCTTGGCAAGCTCCATCTAAGGACTAATCCAGACTACTCTCAGCCCTTAAGATCACTCACCTTGATAGGGATCGCTACCCATAGGAGTTATCAAAAGTCAAGGCCATCAGCCTATCATTGATATCTTCGATCAATTTACAGAAAGCACACAACTTAGAAGCCCTTATCCACAACTTCACAACCTTAGTCAGTACACCGTTAGCAGCTATTTTAATTCAAGGAAACTTTCCCATTATGCCTGGAGGTCTGAATAGAGCCTTTATTTGCTCACACTGATATCTAGAGGACTCACCTTCATATATCACCCTATATAACAATCCTAAAAACCCGAAACATTCGATCCTGAAGGCTTTTCTCAGGAATTTTCCTTAAGTAAAGAGCCAGGCTAAAGGTACAAATCCACATGAACATAGATCAACTAGGTCACATGCTTATAACAATTTGTAATAGTCATATAAAAAATTATACATTCTATTTTTTAAGTGTGCCCTTCCAATCCAATAACAATGAAGATGCATATTTTGAATCTTTTGGACTTCATACTATATATTATGAGATTTATAAATATTCTAAAGCTCCTTCTCCTACTCTCGATGCTCACTCAAATCTCACATAATTTCCCTACTCTCATATACATGCTATCAACTACTAAAGTCGAGTGTTAACCATAGATAAAGTTGGATCGAACAATAGCAGGATATCATTATGGCCTTATCTTATGTTTGCATATAAACCCTAAAGGATTTTCTACATCGCAATACAGAAGTAAATGAGAGTTGAATCATCACCAACATTTTCCAGTAGCATTGGTGAAGGTGTTTAACTGGCATTGATAATGGTTGAGGTGACTGCTTGTTCAATTTTCCCTATTAATAGCGAGGTAGATGCTTGAGATGGACTCGCACTTCCCATTCTTGTAATTCAAAGTGATAATGTTCCAGTGAGCTCTCTCAAAGTTACTTTTGGGCATGAGCCCTAGAGGCTATTTGGCCTTGTGATAAATATTATGGCTTAATTTGGTGAGAAGCCACAGATGTTTTTAGCTACAGTAGATATAGAGAAAGGGGAAATTTAGTTCATATTTTATATTTATTTTGACAGGGGAAGGAACACTAAATGTAAGAAGTGAGTCGTAAAGCCCACTAACGAGCTGAGTGGTGGTAACTACACCTTGGTGTTGCTCGTGCTATGCTCATTCACTCCTTCCTTCCTCATAGCTGGAAATTCTAAGTGGTTTGCGAAGACTACAAGTCTACAGTAAGGTGCAACCCAGCTAAAGGCAATGTTGCAAGAAAAGCAAAGGGCTTACCCTCATAAGGATTAAAACAAACTCATAGTATGTTTAACAACTAAGCGTCACTCCCTCATCGAACACATGATGTTTCTCATGGTCAGCATCTGAGTCATATTGAGGGGGACCACATCTCCTTCAACTCAGTGATATCCTTAAGAGCTACCTCTCATCAAATATTGGGCTCACTAATACCTTCAAGATTCATCAATTTCTCTAGAGTTGCCAACCTCCCAATAACTTCCTCTAATGAGACCAATCCCAAGAGAGGAAAGAAGTTGGCAAACTATCCAAAGGAGAACGAGGCCATGAGCATCTCCAGGATCCCCGCAAACTCACCCCTTGATATGCTCCTCCATTAACACCTTAGCTAGCACATTCATCTTGGCCAACTACTTTGTCAGCCACATCTTACCTCTCATCGACCATTTCCCCCTCATTGGTCAAGATTAGCTCAAGAAGCCCCACATCTTGGGGGCAATTCACAGTCGTTTCCCTTATCAACATTAATGAGAGTTTATCATAAGTCAAGTCTAAGAATCGAGGAGGAATAGACAAGTCAATCTCGCGGTGGATTTGCCCTGCGATACTTGAAGGCTGCACATTTCTCCAAAACCCTCATGTGTAACATTTATTTTTACTTTTCTTAGTATAGCCTTTACCATGGCCCCCATAGAGTGATGGAGAATAGTTTAGAGAATTTTCCTTAGGCTTTCTACTTCAAGTATTTTCTAATTACGATACCAAAAATTCTACTAGTTTATTCTCTCATCTCTGCTCTCTCTATTCCCTGTACTCTCCACCCTCACTAAGAACTTCTCAACTCACTAGGTTTGTTTGCTAGTAAAGTCAAATTTTATCCACTAGACAAATTTGGGCAAACACTTATAGGAGAGCCAAGGCCTTTATGAAGACAAACAATTTATGCTTAACGAGATCACCCATTTATTATAATTGAATCGCCTTTACATGTTAAAACAATTATATGAATGTTCATGAATGAAAATCATCTCAATTCTAAAAACATTAAAATCAAAACAAAAAATTATTGAGCTAAATCAATCATCATACTCAATCACCCCCTTTTCTCTCTTACCTTCTAAGGCTACCTTATAGATTACCCACAAGATTATTCTAGTTCCCTGAAAGCAATCGCAAGGAAACACTCTCATGAGAAATAAAAATCTAGCCCTTAAAAAGGTGAATCCCCATTTTGTGATGTGATCCGCAATGTAGAGTGCAAGTCCCTTCCAATTGCCTAGTCTAGATGGGTGCACTAACGAAGACTTACGTCTAGTGAATAGTAATGTACATTTAAGGTAATGGCGAACAAAACAAATGACGAACTTAATGTGAGTCTCCGAAAGGATTCTGCTTATGGGGCTCGAATGCAAAGGGTATGATCACACTATCCTGTAGGACAAAATGATCGTAGGCCTTTACAATCGACACAAGCAGGCCAATGGAAGAGCAGATGTAGTTATACATATGATTAGCCATGGAGGATAGTGGCTTTCACCTACACACCTCGATGGATAATAATATATATAACCCAAAATTTCACGAGATTTCCCCCATTTGATACATCAGCTCGAATGGGATTTATTTGATGTGGGGATCGGTCTCCTACGGGCGCAAGCCCCCGTAGTTAATTACATCCTAGGCCTCGACCTAGGAAAACTCTCGATTAAGAATAGTGTATTATTCTCTTCTTAATTTAGTGCGTTGAGAAAGTTCCTAAGTTCTATTCCGAAGAAGATAAACTCTTCTATTTACCCTTAGTGATGATTAGACTTTTTAAATGAATAAAGATGTGATTAAGATTTTGAGTTTAAAAGATCAAAGACCAGATTACTACTCTAAGAGAAATGACAGACTCAAAACACATCAAAGATAAAAAAAAAAAAGACACACCGAGGGGACTTATAACTTAAACCCCACTAGGGATCTAAGCAGCCCCGACCTTGATTTACCACCCTGCCCGGAAAGGGGTACCAGCTCAACTCCACCTAGCGTATCAAATCCATGTTGGCAAGTCTTATGCAAATGCAAGAGTGGTAGGAGGCACAAAAGAGGAAATGAGTATTAAACCCGACCATGAATGGTACTATGCTTATGCAAAGTGAACTATCCCTCTATGTTGCAAAAGAAAAATCTATATGCAGACTCAAAGATATGCATGTGAGGGTAGGGGCAATTGGGATTGGCCAATAGTCACTCTGAAGTGAGCAAGGCTTATTTATTATAATTTTAAAAAATGCCCCTTTAAAGAAGTCATGCATTAAGTTTTTAAAAAAGATTAATTAATTTTAATCCTATATTCATTTTTTTATCTTGCTTAAATAAATTTTAACTTTATAAAAAATTGAGCATACTAGAGAGCCTAACGTTGACTCCATCCGAGCCACACCCAAACAAAGCAATTTAAGAAACCTAGGAAAAAGCATGCAGTTCTAATGCGTAAGCAAAGTAAACACAAGTCAATAAAATAGAGTGTCCAAAATCTATGGCAAGTGCTATATAATATTACATCATATAGTACATAAAAGTAATGGTGGCTGGGCTCCACCGACAACAACCTGGGAACGACGCAAAGCTTAAAACAAGGCATTCTTATCCCGATATTCATCTTCACTTCCTTGATTCGTCTATGGATCATCTTTATTCCTTAGGGTTCCTCGTACTGCGTCCTCCAAATGGATGCCCAAATGAAAAAGGAAATTCTCTATAAGAGATTTCATTTTCCCTTTGGACCCCTTTATATTTAAAAAATGCCTTATTTTAACAATTTTCACAACTCTTACAATGAATGAATTACATCAGAAAAAATAAAAAATAAAAAAATCTAGACTCTCCTGCAGGGTTATCCTAAGCAGTTATAATTAATCATCCAAGCAGTTATATATATGTGAAATGAAAATGCTCATAAAAAATCACACTTGGCCATGCTCTAATTATTGGGGGCTAAGCTGCTGAAGCAAGTACCTAAAGCAGTTATGAATAATTATTATTAATTTTAGCCCCCTTTGGCATTGTGTGAGCACGGCCATCTGCAAGAAGACAATGTTAGTATAAAAATAGCGTTTCTAACATATGGGTATTCTACCGCTCACAACACAGTGCAGAATAGAAACTAGAAGTCACCACAGCAAGTACCATAGAAAAGCTAACACAAGTAGAAAAAATAACCAACACACAAGCCACATGCAGAGCGTCACAGCACAGTACAGAAAAGAAAAGAAAAACATCGACCTAACCTATAGCTAGTAGTCGTGTCCTAACGAACCAATATAAGTGTGTGTAGGCTATATGGTTTTGGTAAGTCCTATATAGGATAGTTTAGTTAGAGTTACTTACATATTTGTTTTTTAAAAGAGCAAAGGAGATTTTAATTAAAGTTCAAATTTTAGTGTCTTAAGATTGATTTTAGAATTTTTTTTATTTTTTTAGCATTTGATTAATTATCACCTTTGTTTCACACCGAGACCATGAAGTTTATTTCACCCTCCTTGGAGCTAACTTAATAGCCTCGTAGGCCTGGGTTACCCAGTGAAAATTAACTTTGTTAAATTATTTTAATTTGTTACGAAAGGAGAAAAAAAGTAAATTAAGTATTTTATTAATCAAGTTTGCTGGTTGATTTTAAATATTATTCTAAAGTTTGATATTTAGGAGTCTTTTATCCTAATGAATTTTAGCCTACGATTTGATTTTCTAATTAAATCTACGTCTTTTAAATTTTAGATTGGTCGGGAGTTAATTATTAAATTAGTTAGATATGATTTAGGTGTATGTCTTAGACTTACAATTTAAATATTATAAGATGTTAATGATAACTTAATTAAGAATTAAATGTTTTAATATATGTTAAGAATTAGATTAAGATTGGTTGGTTGATTATTAATAGATTAAGAAAAACCAAACCTAAGAAAGCGTGTCACAAAATTTTTGTTTTAATGTTTCGATCATATAGGGAGCATGCACCCTAAGTTTATGTTATCTAAGAATCAGTCCTTAATTTTTGTCCTTATGTGTCACTAAAGTTGTATTACTAAAATGAGTTTTTTTTTCCTAACCCTTAGGACTTTCGTACATGTGAAAGGGTGTGGGATCTAAAATAAAAGAAAGCAATCCTAGTTATAAAATGAAGTTTTTACAGGGTCCAAAAGGGTCGGGATCGTACAATCATGGACCCCAAAAGGCTTTCTAAGTTTTAAGAGAACTTACTACACTGGGGGCTATGACCCGGTGGTTCTGTCCGTAGCACCCCTACCAGACTGAATAGGGGCTACTGATGCTCGGATCCGGCTGTCCTTTCTTCTTCTCCAAGTGCTCCAGTGCTCCTTATCCTTTGTTATCCAAAAAGTACCTTGTAAAACATAGAAAAAGAGCAAATGGGAATGAGAGTAGGCACCATTCAAAAAGAGAAGTAAGTTAATAGTAATCTAATTACTAGACAATTCGTATCTATCAATCAAGTGTGTGTCATCAACTAAAACATAAGCAAAGTAAAGGTTTTCTAATGTAAAGAATAAGGAAAATTTATACATATATTACATAGCAATTTATTGACACAACACATGCATCTACAAATATCAACTATCCGAACCAACGAGCAATCTAATATTCACGGATATGGAACATATATAAGTCAACACTATAATATGAAGATGCATGGAAGTTCGCTAGCATAAATAACGATCTCTATATCACATAGCTTTAAATTGCATGAAAATTAAGTCCCTCCTGACAAATTTGCAATTATTTTTGTAAAACATATACACACCGTGATGAGATTCGATTTCTTAGAAAGTAAACACATTATGTGTATTTTTTATAAATTGAAATGACATATTGAGTAGCATCGAACATTATGTATAATTAACAACCGCTTGATATGACTAGATACAAAATAATTATTATTTGGAAGATATTCACATAAAGCATATTCTACTTTTATTAGTACACAAAATCTCTATGGAGCGAGGCTACATAACATAAGAGAATAGAAGAGGTATAAATATAAAAGTTTAATAAGATCACAAAACTATAATAAGAAAACGAATTTGTTAGAACTCAACCTCAACATGGGCATACATGATGGGTTTCAAAATTCTATGCCAAAAGAGTCCAAACTCTATATCAAGTTCAGTTATTAACTATGAGCATCCAGATATGGATATTTCATTAACAACTGATTCTTTACCTGATTTTGATATCTATTTGCCATGTGAGTCTTTGATACAAGTACTAGATGTAAAAGAGAAATAGTTTGAGCCAAAGAGCAGAGTGAAAAGTTATATTATGAGAAAAGTTATATTAAGACCTTTCTATATCATTAGCGACAAAATATATATTTAAATATGACCGAAGTATAAGGAAAACACTATCCTGCTCAAGTTAATTCGCAAGATCACTCACGAACAATAATTACAAAAAATACTATACTAAAACAGATTATGAGAAACGTTTAATCAATTTGAACATAAGTGGATGAGATACGTCATGAGATACTTTACAAATGTATATATGCCTACCACTCTTTGGAACTAAAATATAATTCAAGCATGGCATTGTCGAACTTTAAAAACATTTTTTTTTATCATGACTTGTGACAGAGATGGTAAGTTAAATCTAGGAATAATATGACCACTTATCTTTCTCCAATGTTGGTTATAAGTGAATTGTGGTGCATTGCCCACTCACCAAATAATCATGCGCCCGTAAAGAATTCGAGAAACAAATGCGATTATGAAAAAGCGAGAACTACCAAGTTAAAAGAAGGAAATCGAGGCGATTACTAGATGAGAAATATGGTATTAATAATCGTGTGTCATATCTTCCAAACACAAAAAAAAAAAAAAAAAGGGGTCCGTATAGGTTTCAGATTTTTTTTTTTTTCAATAAAAGTTAGGTCCATTTATTATTATTTTTTTTAGAAAAGATAAAGAGGAATATATCTCCCATGTATAATGGAAGGGCCAAAACATAACGATCACTTGTATTACATACAAATATCCAAATCCTGTATACAATCAAAACTTATGGACTCATTATCGATACAGGAGAAATGAGGTATAAATTTGTTTACTCAATACCTTTGCTTGGTTAAAGCTTGTAACTTTTTTTTTAGACATTATTACAAACACTTGGCATGCATCCTCTTTTTTTTTTATTAGAGAAATAACATGGCTTCTTCTTACTTTTTCACAACCTGTACATAAACTTTTAATTTCATGGCATGAATCATATACAGAATGCAAATCTCATGTAACAACTATACATTTTCGAATAATCTATATCAACATATAAAGCATTTACAGATGAATCGTTAACTTTGCTTACACATGAACTAATTACTTAGAGAAATAAGCCGTATTGCTGTAGTTTCTTACATCATGGAGAATAAATAGGAAAAGAGAAATAAGAGAAAAGGAAGGAGAAGAAGAAGAAAATCAGGCGCCATATACCTGCTGCTATATAAGAAGGCTGGTCGGCCAAGATTGGGACTTCGGCGACAGGGCCTGCGTCAATGTCGGGCTCCGCTAGGGAGAGGCGACTTTGGCTTTCTCCTGGGCTTCGTAAACGAGAAACGGAGAGAGGGCGAGGAGGAGATCGAGGTAGCTTCGGCTTGTTCATCTCTTGGCATCGGCTTGCAAGGGAGGATTTTAAATTGATTTATTATATATTTATGTATATAAAAATATTTCATACTTAATATTATTATGAACAATGTATTTTTTTTAATTTGTTTTTATTACATCTTTTTTATCATTAAATTTTTTAAAAGAAAACATTCATCGCTCTCTCTCATCGACACGCATCAAACGATGTCCGATTCAAGTTTGAATGGACCAATTTAAAAGGTCTCGACGATCCGGGCACGCTCGTATAATCCGTTTCACAAAACATGATCACGATCAAAAGATCTTAAATATGGAGCAAAGATGTACGATAAAGGCTCAAATGCGTGAAATCACATCGAATTGTCATCGAGCCGACCACATGTATTTTAGAATGAAATAGGGTAACATGTGGTCAAAAGGGGGTAAATCCTAAAGCCGTTGACGAGCCGAGATAACATACGCGAGTTGACCCTTCATCAACACAGCATTGCAACATACGGGAAGGTAGATGAATCTAAAAAAAATGCCAGACAAGACAGTGTAAGTGACTGATGCCAAAAAGGAGGTCAACAAAGACAACCCCAACATGTGCGATGAACGACACGTGGACCGTACATGTTGGCATTGACCTCCCCAACTCTAGGAAGGTACAACTAAAAAAAACAATAAAGAAGTTCAACAATCATGCAATAAGTGTCCCACCATGCTATGCTCACACAATCATACAATGGTCATCCAAACATGCAATCATGTAATCGTATAATAATCATCAAATCACCCAATAATTTTGTAATTTCATGATTTTCACAAACTCGTGACATAACCAACGATCCACACAAAGTCATATAATCAAATAATACTCATAAATCATGTAACAATAACCTAAAAAATGCAATTCAGCCAATCATAGAGTGATCACCTAATAATGCACACATAATGATGCAATAATATTCGACCATACAATGATCATGCAATAAATGCAATAATCGCCGAATTATATAGTGAGTAATCCATCATACAATGATCTTCTCATAATAACACAATCATGTAATAACAACGTACATAATTACACAATTATCATCAAAGCATGCATAAATCATATACATGCAATAATAATCCAAACATAAAATGATTGTTAAATCATACAATAATCAATCAACCATGCAGTGATCACACCACAATCATATAAACATATAATAATTAATCAATCATACAGTGATCACACCACAATAACATAAGCATGCAAAAATTCAATCATGCAGTGATCACACGATAATGGCATAATCACACAAGCATATAATAACCAATCAATTGTGTAATGATCACACCACAATCATATAATCATGCAGACATGGTGGGACAAAATGGCAGAAAGAAATCAAACATTCGCCTGAACATAATCAAAACGATGAACGAGAGTGACACAATACTCACCTAATCAGATCAAAATAGTGAGTTAGAGCCTAAGAAAATTCAATAACCTAACAGTAAGGAAGGACAAGGAAAACTCAACAAACATTAGGGAAGTCAACAACCACTAGGGAAACTCAATAACCAGTAGGAAAGGTTCGACAACCACTCGAAAAGTCAACAACCACTTGACTGGAGGTCGAGGGTGAAGAAGGACAATGGACACTCGATGATCACCCGTGCATCTGCTTAGATGATACGAAGAGGACAAGGAAACATTCAACTATCACCTGCCATGAGTCTAGCAGTGAAGAGGATAGGAAATAGAGCACCCTCGCTCGGCCATTGGCCACGAAACAGCGAGGTCTCTACCTGACCATAAGTCTGTCGGTAGGACAAAGTGAAACGGAACAGTCACCCGACCATAGGTCTGTCAGTGAAGAAAAAAGGAAAGAGAGCACCCTCACTCGCCCATAGGCCCCAAAATAGCGAGGTCCCTACCTGACCAAAGGTCTGTCAATAGGATAAAGTGAAAAGGAACAGTCACCCGACCATAGGTCTGTCGGTGAAGAGAAAAGAAAAGAGAGCACCCTCACTCGGCCATAGGCCCCGAAACAGCGAGGTCCCTACCTGACCATAGGTCTGTCTGTAGGATAAAGTGAAAAGGAACAGTCAACCGACCATAGGTCTATCGGTGAAGAGAAAAGAAAAGAGAGTACCCTCACTCGGCCATAGGCCCCGAAACAGCGAGGTCCCTACCTGACCATAGGTCTGTTGGTAGGATAAAGTGAAAAGGAACAGTCACCCGACCATAGGTCTGTCGGTAAAGAGAAAAGGAAAGAGAGCACCCTCACTCGGCCATAGGCCCCGAAACAGCGAGGTCCTAACCTGACCATAGGTCTGTTGGTAGTAAAGCAAAAAACTCAATAACCACCCGACCATAGGTTTGTTGGTGAAGTGAAGAGGAAAGAGAGCATCCTCGCTCGGCCATAGGCCCCAAAACAGCGAGGTCCCTATCTAACCATAGGTCTGTTGGTAAGATAAAGTGAAAAGGAACAGTCACCGGACCATAGGTATGTCGGTGAAGAGAAAAGGAAAGAGAGCACCCTCACTCGGCCATAGGCCCCGAAACAGTGAGTTCCCTACCTAACCATAGGTCTGTTGGTAGGATAAAGCAAAAACTCAACAACCACCCGACCATAGGTTTGTTGGTGAAGTGAAGAGGAAAGAGAGCATCCTCGCTCGGCCATAGGCCCCTAAACAGCGAGGTCCCTACCTGACCATAGGTCTATCGGTAGGATAAAGTGGACACTCAACAATCACCCGACCATATGTTTGTCGATGAAGTGAAGAGGAAAGAGAGCACCCTCACTCGACCATAGGCCCCAAAATAGCGAGGTCCCTACCCGATCATAGGTCTGTCGGTAGGATAAAGCGGACTCTCAACGATCACCTGACCATAGGTCTATCGGTGAAGTGAAGAGGAAAGATAGCACCCTCGCTCAGCCATAGGCCCCAAAATAGTGAGGTCCCTACCCGACCATAGGTCTATCGGCAGGATAAAGCGAAAACTCAACAACCCCCTAACAGGTAAAAGGAAATAGGGGGAATGAAGAGGTGGTGAAGTGTACCCCCCAGGGACTCTGTCGGGTAACCAACCAAAAGCCCGATGTCCACCCAACCTTAGATCTGTCGATGAGACAAAACGGGAAGCTCAACATCTATCCGGCCATAGGTCTGTCGATAAAATGAAGAGAAACGATTCACCTTTGCTCGGCCATAGGCCCGACAGCAAAGTTTCTACCCGGTCATAGGTATGTCGGTAGAATAAAGGGAAGCTCAACAATCACCTGACCATAGGTCTATTGATGAAGCGAAGGAAAGAAAGCACCTCTACTCGGCTATAGGCCCCGAAACAATAGAGTCCCTACCCGGTCATAGGTTTTTCGGTAGGATAAAATAGAAAAGAGGACAATCACCTGACCATAGTTCTGTCGGTAAAGAGAAGATGAAACACCTCTGCTCGTTCATAGGCCCCGAAATAATAGAGTCCCTACCCGACCATAAGTCTGTCAGTAGGATAAAGTAGAAAGCTAGACAATCACCCGACCATAAGTCTGTCGGTGAAGAGAAGAGGAGAGTATCAAAAGGGGCTCCCTGAACAAAGGAAACCACAAATAACATCAAAGGGAAAGCCCCTCAGACGAGTCTGTCCATAGAGGAGCACCAACATGGAAAGAAGACCAACATTCGTGCAAAATCAAGGTAAAGATATCATGACATCAATATGAGAAAGAACAATCAGAATAATCACTCAGAAAAAGCTCCAAGGGGATGAACCCAATTGAGAAAATGGAATAAGGATTTGAAAGGGATAGTGACTCCCAAACGATCAGACAAAATAAACAGCTTGAATGGGATAGTGACTCCCAAATAAGTGGACAAACATAACAGTTTGAATGGGATGGTGGCTCCCAAACAAGTGGATAAACCCAACAACTTGAATGGGATGGTGGCTCCCAAACAAGTGAACAAAGAAACAACTTGAATGGAAGAAGCGCTCCCAAGCAAGTGAACAAAGACCACAACTTGAATGGGATAGTGGCTCCCAAACAAGAGATGGCGGCATAAAGATATCAAGAGAATAAATGCACGTTAAATGGTTGTTTGTAAGGAAAATAATCACAACTCAAAACAACCAAGATCCAAAAGAGAATGAGAGTGCAATCAAGGGAATATCATATCAATCCTTAAGAGTGATTTATAGTCAAATGTTGGGGTCCAAAAATTTTTATGCATGAATTTTTAAAAGAACAATGTGAGTATTTAGACGTACTTAATAGTGGAGCCACTAAAAGAAGTCAAATACCCACCTGAAAGTTCATTCGGGATGTTAAGCCCTATGAACTTAGTCCCAAGCTAACCAAGAGGGGGGTGAATTGGTATTCTATATCTCCCTTAGATACATAATCTCTATTTAATTGATGTGTAATGTCCATATGCTTAGTATAGGAGTGTTGAATTGGGTTTTTAGAAATGTAGATGACACTTGTGTTGTCACTCGTGATAGGAGTGGTGCATTAGTCCAAGATCTAGGATTTGTTTCTTTAGCCATAAGACTTGAGAAACACAACATCCTATAGCTATATATTCTACCTTAGTGATTTATATATCTATATTGTTTTGCTTCATACTAAACCACGAAACTTATAATTGTCCTATAAATTAATTAGTACTTGAGGTGCTTTTTTTTAATCTACCATACACCCTATAAAGTTTGAGTTTGAACATCCTACAATTTCAAAGGAAGAGATATGATTAGTATGGTAGATAACTAAGTTTTGGATGCCCGAAAGGTATCTAAGAATTTACTTAACTACAGTTATATGGGATTCCTTAGGATAAGCATGGAATCTATCATAAAGATATATGTTAAACATGATATCAGGTCTGCTAGAAGTTTAATATAGAAGTAATCCTATTATCCCACTTATGATTCTTCTAATACACAAAATTTTCATTTGAATCCTTACCTAATTTAATGATAGAGCTAATGGCTGTATTTATTACTTTAACACCTTCCAAATCATACTTCTTTTGAAT